GGACCGGGCGTGGAGCAGCTCGTGAAGAACTGCAGCCCGTGGGAAGGACTCACGTTGGAGAAGTCCATGGAGGACGGTCTCCCATGGGAGGGACCCCACACTGGAGCAGGGGAGGAGTGTGAGGAGTCCTCCCCCTGAAGAGGAAGGAGCAGCAGAAAGAATGTGTGATGAACTGACTGCAAGCCCCGTTCCCCATCCCCCTGCGCCGCTGGTGGGCAGGAGGGAGAGAACTAGGGAGTAAAGTTGAGCCTGGGAAGAAGGGAGGGGTAGGGGGGAAGGTGTTTTAAAATTTGGTTTTATTTCTCATTATCCTAGTCTGATTGGATTGGTAATAATTTTTTTTCCCCCAAGTCAAGTCTGGTTTTGCCTGTGACGGTGATGGGTGAATGATCTCTCCTTGTGCTTATCTCGACCCACGAGCCTTTTGTTGTGTTTTCTCTCCCCTGTCCAGCCGAGGCGGGGAGTGACAGAGCAGTTTGGTGGGTACCTAGTCTCCAGCCAGGGTCAGCCCACCACAATGGTCAAACGTCTATCTGCTGCAACTACAGAGGAACAGTTCAAAAAGAACAGCTAAGAGATATGCCTCTCCAAACACCCTACTGGCCCCAAAGGGCTGAAACCAACCCTTGCTTAAAATCAGGTAAGAGGATTTCAACACAGGTCTCCTATATCTTAGGGGAATTCTCTACTGGACCACAACATAGTCACAAGGAGCCACAGAGGGGAGGCCGTTCAGTGGCTCTTGTGTGAACTTCTTAATTTCGCCGAAGTTATGGGCAGCATTTATGCCTATTTCACAGAATTTCAGGTTGACCCAAATTGTACAGCTAGCCAAAACCCACAGCCAGCAACTAAGCAAACAGACGACGACATAGCTGTTGTTCCACGTGCAAGTAAGTCCCTCTGAGAAACTACATTTTCACCTTTTTCACACTGAATGCAAAAGCATCTTGGTGTCATGGTTGTTCCACGTGCAAGTAAGTCCCTCTGAGAAACTACATTTTCATACTGAATGCAAAAGCATCTTGGTGTCATGGTTGGGTAAAGCACTTAAATAATATATGTTCCAATGCAGTGAACCTATCGCACCTTGGTCCTGTTTTCAAATGACTTCTGACAACTCACAGAACATATCCTTGCACAAGGTCTGCAGTGAGACAAACTCATAGGCTGTGGTACATGTCAACAAGCTATCGGTCCTTCAGAAATTCCCAGAGCCAGGTCTGAACACGCAGCAATGAGCAAAGCGCTTTTAAAGCTGCAGCAGCAACAGCTGAACGTGATATGCAGAGCGCACTTTGGACTCTACGCAGTTTGCGCCTTTGGACTTTGACCTCTCTCTCCCCTTTTGGCTGGTGATCTAGCATTTTCACACAAAGTGAGGAAATACAAATGTTCTGCCCGCATAGTTGAAAAGATGTGAAGAGAGAGGAACGACAAACTAATAATAAGTACTAAACAAGCAGCTAGGCTGTTGCACATACATAGAGAAGATGACTTACATGTTCTGAAAAGAACCTTTTGGAGAATGAAGCTACAATTCTCTGAGCTTCTAGGCCAGCATTGTGCCGTGCTTTGTATTCTTCAAGCCAGCTAACACCGTCTGTGTGGCTATAGTATTTCAGCAGCGATGGCCATCTACACAACAAGACATAAGTGAACAGGTTCATTAGTATTTCAACACCACTGAGAACCTCCATAACTGTAAAACGTTGCTTAACGTAACAACGTGACTGAGCTGAGGAGCTGAGACATTGCCAAGACACAGTACAACTTCAAATATAATTGTATAAATTAATCCAATAACTGATTTCATCTGCATATTAATGGTTATTTAAAAGTAAACTCTCCTGAAGCCTGCTAAGAGGAAACCTTCAAAAGGTTCCTACTCTAGGATATTTAGCTATTGAAATACCTGAACACTTTTAAGATTTCCTCCAGAGCTTTGCAAGATAAACATGTCACAACAGTAGAAGAGATGCAGAGTTTTGTAATTTAAAAAAGTTTGCCATTCTGAAGACTATCACATGTAAGCTAACTTGTCATCTAAGAGAATGAGAATTCATTGTCCTGTGCTCCTCCTACTACCTTGTGGGCCTAATTAAGAAGATGCACAAAACAGAGCTCCCTCTATTGCTTTTGCTGGTGGCAACATCTACTGGAGGAAAACAGAATTCTGTAGTCAAATTGTAGCAGCTAAATGCTTTGGCAGTTCATTTTTAATACAAGAAATAATTATTTAAAAGAAAAAAAAAACCCCACAAAATACACCTTTCTTGTAAAAGAAAGCTGTACCTGCTTTACTGAGTCTAGAAGTCCAAAAGCTAAAACATGTTCCACGGCATACGAAGAAGCATTTCAAGGTTCGACTGAAAACCTAACTTCAGGTAATGTTTTGGGGGCTATTAGCAGCAATAAAGTTTCTTTTGTAATGACGTGGGCACATGCTGCCACAACGCAGCCCTGTGCAATAAAATACATGTCGGCACAGCAATACCCAGGACTGTTCTGAAGATACAAAGTGGATGGAAATATTTTGGCCAGCATGGGAAAGCAAGCCAAGAGAAAGGGCTCTTGTAATTTAAAGGGGAGGTTATTTCCCATTTTGAAATTCTGTTAATTATTCCAAGTTTTCACAAAACATTTTCCTTCAACTACATGGATTGCCTTATGTTCTTTTCAGGTTATATTATGTATATTTTATTTATATACATTATTTTATAGATCTATATATTTTTACCTTATAAATAGAGAGAACACCAAATGTTTAAGCCACTACTTCTGTATAAAAATTATTACCAACTGACCAAAAGGCACGGTTGTGTCTGTCCACACATGGAAGGTATTTTACTACCAGTTAATAATAAAACTACACTGCAATTGCAGTTACAAAACAAAGTCGAAGACTAACCAAATAACTTCACATTACATAATAACCTCTCTCCTGATTGATCCCTAGCCATTAACCTACTGCTGAAAGGCAGTCACGCCGTAACAACAATTACAATAATTTATTTTAGGATGGGAAAGAATAATTCACTGGGTTGAAATTACATTGAAAATTTTAGGAAGATAAAGTGCAATTACTCACGATGGAATCCAGCCAGGACAAGGTCAATGTGCAAACTCCTGCCAAAAGTTTATTATCAAAGACAGAGGAGGACAGCAGCATGTGCTAATCACCTACCACATTCAATTTCAGCTGTTGGATCTCAACCATTTTTAAACTTTCAGGTTTTTGCTTCAGAAATTAGAGCCAATGAATTGGTGAAAGGATCTGGCCAGCCATAGCTCAGTGAACTGGGGAAGCTGTAATTGTTCAGTAGCCTTTTTCACTAGTGGAAAGAAAATAATCCTCTCATTTGAGCTATGCTACATTTTAGAAGCCAGCTGGCAATTGGAGAAAGCAATATTGCTACTTTTCCTGTGCCAAAGCACGGACAAAACCAGGTAGCAGGTCAGCTGCCCTATTCTAGATAGGTTGGCGGCCTCAGTGAAGGAGCGTTGTTTCTAGAACTGCTGAAACCACCGTGGTGTAAGCAGTATCAACAATAACACTCATGCTTTATTCCCAGCTAAAGCATTAACAGTTTCTCTGGCTACAATACAGCTATGTCCTTGTCAGGTATCCCGTGACTGCCTTTGGGGGAAACTAAACTCACAGTCAGCAAATGTCAATCCAAAGGATTTTGGTTGCTGTGAAAATAGCTCTCCCAAAAGCACTACAAATAAACACCTGTCTTTGATTTAAGTCTTGGCAGTTGTTTTGGAAGCTGCTAGCTAATGCTGCCTACCTTAGTGGGACCAGGGAGGCCAACTGACAACCCCAGTACGCATGTGGCCCTATGTCCACACTACTGCCAGACCCCAGGCTGGATGTGGAGGCTGCAGGTAACCCAAGTGCCCGGCTGTGGAAGGGGCTGCAAAGACTGATCTCCGAGTGGCAGGCTCTGCCTGGTTCATCCCGCAGGATTTAGGATGGGAAGAAGCCTTGCAGCAGTCCCTGTGATCCCTGCTCGGGAAGGACATCCACATCCCGCTCGGCACACAGCGGAAAGCCACAGGGCTCGTTCCACCCGTGGGGGGTTCTGCATGCACCGTGGTGCAGCTGGCAAGGCAAGAGAGGCAAAGATGGGGTGTGTGGGATGCACTTGCACCACCCCAGGAGCAGCCAGGCTCTCCCAGGCCAAGGGGACCGAGGGCACGGTCCCCTGTGCCAGCTGAACCTTCCGGGTAGGGCCCGGCCTGCGCGGGCAGGGCCGGGTTGCCCCGCGGCCC